CCCCCCCCCCTTTCTGGAATCAATAGAGAAAAAGCCCTCAGGTGAGGATTAAAAAAACAATTGTTAAATTTATGATTACTTTCAGAAAGGAAATTTCAGTCCACCTTGTGGCGAGGGTGGGAGAGGAAAGCATCGCTGAGGGACCACTGCTGGGCCAGGTCTTCCAGGAGGAGATGAGGAGCGGGGGCTTGCAGAAATCAGGGCATAGCACAGAGGAGCCTTACTCAGCCCTTCTGCCTGGCTTTAATGAATCCATCTTCTGGTCCTGGTGCTGGAGATTCTCCCTAAGGCCTGTAGGGGGCAGCAGTTCCCCCAGCTCACCAGCTTCCGGGTGTCTCAGCTCTCTGGTCAATTCTGCCCATCATCAATTCAGATGAAATTGTTCATGTCTTTGCATACTTAAAAGAAATAAAGTATCATCACTCCCAGACTAAATTAGTGTTTTAGTATTTTTTCTTTCTTTTTTTTTTTTTTTAATCTTTATTGATTTCAGAGAGAGGAAGGGAGAGGGAGAAGGAGAGACAGAAACATCAATGATGAGAGGGTCATTGATCGGCTGCCTCCTGCATGCCCCCGACTGGGGATCGAGCCTGAAACCCGGGCATGTGCCCTGACCGGGAATCAAACCATGATCTCCTGGATCCTAGGCTGACTCTCAACCGCTGAGCCACTCCCCCCGGGCTAGTATTTCTTTATTGCATCTTGGTGCACTTCTTTTGACAAGTTCATTGTAGAAAATTGAGATAGTCGCAGGAGAGTTAGGAGTCATCCAGAATGGTTCCAGTGAGAGGCTGGCATGGTTTGCATTTTGGAGCATGTAATTTTAATAGAATTTCAGACACAGTGGAGTGGAATTGTACATTTGTAACCCGACTCCCTTTCATCTGCAGTATCGTGGGCATCTTTTTGAGTCAAATATTCTAGAGTGTCATAGCTTCTAATGGCATCACACTTTGTTTCATATTTTGGTGCTGCACCAGCATCATCCTGGGCGAGGTGTGAGTCCCAGCTCTCCTGGAACTGCTCAGCTCAGCACTCTGGACTGTCACCTACCCTTGTCCCTACTGCCCAGCTATGTCATGTGGGACATTTGAGCATTAGTTATCTGTGGTGGAGGCCACAATTCTGAGGTTGTTGGTCTTCCAAGAGAATTCTGCATCATGAGAAGGTTGGGTCAGTTTGGGGCACTATGTGAACAGGAAATAATGAGATTTTCCCAGAGAACTTATAAGGCTCAGCTGGGTCTTCAAAGAGAATGTGCTTGGGGGCTGTAGGCGAATGAATGATACCCCCAACCTCAAGTTACATCCACATGGAACTTGGACTCCCGGAACCTGTGACTGTGACCTTAT